ACACAGCAGTAGCATCGATTTCACAAACCTTAATCGCTTCACTATTTCATTTATTGATTAATTGATTTCAGTTCCTCATCACACAAAGTGGCAGACTATCGGAAAACAATCAAGGCAATATGCTCCATAAGTAATAATATTGACTGCTTGTATACAGTGCGAAAGCTTACTGGTTAGGAAATATCACGTTAAAAAGACGCCAAATAAATTCTGCGAATAGTTGACGTTCTTTACAAACATGGAACATTTAATCCTTATTAGCAAAAGTTGCAAAAACTGACCTTATATAGGCAAAATAAGTGCAAAACAACGTTCTGAGCGGCCTGCCTTAAGTTGCAAGAAGAGTTCATGTGATTGTTAGGCAGCAGTTAATGTGTCTTATACCGACGGTAAGGATATCAAAAGCAATTCAGTATATTTTTTCCTTCGAGATGTCCCTGTTGGGATGAGGTACGATTTTTTTCTTCTATTCTGGCTATGCGGCCGTGGCCCACACATGACTTTGCGGGCAAGTCAGTGCCATCATTTCTCTTATTTTTTCGTTTGAGACTCCTCCCATTGCAATCGCTCACACCTTAGTTGAGGTGAGAGATGCAGGGCCGTCCACGGGAGAATAGTTTGTCGCACCTGAGTGGCAGAATAAAATCTTTGTTTTCTCCGGTGGTTTATGCTTGGAGATTTTCCATTACACTCGAACTTTTTTCTTTTGAAGTCTACCAGGAGATGGGGCTATCCAGCAGAACCGAGGTGCATGAAAACATTGCCGGTATCGTAATCGTAGTTGTTATCCTTAAATCCATGGAGGAGAAGTACAGGAGGATAACGTCATCCAGTTCCGTTCGCCACTGTCACTCCGCGCTCTATTCAAAATCATAAACCATTTTTCATGTCCGTTTCTAGGTCCGAAAAAAGTTATGGTACAATTGAAGGGACGGATTGGAATGTAATGGTGGGAGGCCAATGTGGAAGTGATCTTGGTCCTGATATTGCCTCTCCATCATTGAACTGTTGGCCTACTCGTTTCCCGTTTGGAGGAGAGACCAATGAAGGATTAACGTCAGCTTTGCTCTATCATTTCACTCCATTCTCGGTCACTCCGACGATTTCAAGGAAAGATTCAGAATTTCAGAAAGATTGAGAATTTCAGAAAGAACTCCACTGGTTTTGCTCTTTCTTTTGATGTTCCTCCCCCACCAATTCATAGGATTTCTCAGTGTCGCGAAGTATAATACGTATTAACAATCTATTAGGTTTCACAATGGCCTGAATCTTCGTAGATGGATCACCGTATAACCGCATCACGGATCTCCCAGGCACAACATGCCTGCATAGTTTCGATTCTTCTAAATGGGGAGCAAGCGCGTCTAGCAGGCTATGCTCAGCCACTGCACGACTCATAAGCATCCGAGTCTGGTTTGGGATGTATTTGTATGTGTTATCTCGCCTCATCTTTTCTCCACCTTTGTTCCTGGTCTCTGGCCTGTTGATCAGTGACATCTCAACTTTCCAATGATGTGCCAGTAGATCTTCTCGCTGCGAAATGCTGGTATCTTTCTCAAGGAGAGGGCTGAGCTACTCGCGGGCCCAATGCTTCTCCACCATTTGTGGTCGCCCGCCAGCTTTCAACCCCGGGAAGACGAACCCAGGCATGCCGCAGCGAACAAAACTGCACCGTCCAAGTTCACAGACATAAAAAGTAAGGCCGTCTTCAGTACTTCTATAGAGTTCTTTTCGCTTTCTATCAATCAACTACTGCGCTGTACTGGCACTCCCTTATACGCGAAATAGTATCATTACAAACTTAAGCAGTTGTGCTCTAGTGCGAGTTTAATTCGGCTGCTCACTCTGTCTCTTTTCTTTTCTATCTACCACCTCATGACGTCTATCGCTATATGGTAAGCAAAAATGATCTTCGGACTCGTCACGACATACAGGGGGAAAAAAGTGTTTTTCTCTAGTCATTGATGAGCCTACGTGACGCCGTGGAAACGTGGTTTGCCTGAGAATGGGAACGATACCGTCCAATCTATCTTTACTTGCTCTTCTTCTTCCATTCGACTCACTAATCCTTCAACGCATCGCACCTTTAGGAGGTTAGTTCTCAAAATACAAAACAGCTGTCGCGCGCGACATTCGCACCAGAACCTAAGTGATTTATATGCGAGTGTTAGGGGATGTCGAGTCAGTTCATTAGCAAATACTCTGACAACTCCATCACCGCCTCCTGTGAATACCCTAACTGTGAGCCCTTATTTTCCAAGTGTCGTCTCCTTCTTAAACGCCTGTATTCCTGTTTCCATCATTATCATTTCGACTTCAGAGCTTTTGAGAAGCGTAATTCAATCACTCCATGTCTGGAGCCCATCTGCTTTCAGATGGACCTATCTATGTTCTTTTTTTGGAGTAACGGTGTTGCTGCCTTCCCTATCGTCCGTTCATCTCTTTTGTTACAATCATTTCTCTATTTTAGACATCTTCATAAGTGGAACTCCTATATTTTATTCACAATAGTTTCTCGATTTTGTATTTATTTAATTTAGCTTCGATTCGACAAAGCAAGATTTCCAGTTCTTTTCGCTATGGCTACCGTAGCACCTGAATCGAATCCTATTCCACCTCCACGGTAATCTTTTTTCTTTCAGAACACTGATTGAATTGACTATTTTTCAGTTTCAGAGAGAATCGTAAGATCACCTCTATCGAATGTCCTCCAGATTTGGACTTCTACACCCAAACGTCTGAGCGGAAAAGAAGACCGACCATTCAAGAGCTTGCAGCCAACAGACTTCACTCCATAATCTCACGGGTGAGCATTGGTCGCTGCGTGGTTTTGTGTGTGGGCATAGATAGCTCAGTTGGTAGATCGAGTGTCTCAAGGCACATTCCACACCAATCCCAGAGAAAGTAATTTCTTTTCTTGTGAGCTTCTGTACAATCTTAGCTGGGGGATCGTTCAATGAAAACGATGAGCTCGCATGACTCCGCCCATACTACCATCGCAGAATATACACTCGTAATCCCTGAGATGAGGTAGGCGTGGCTGCATACTTCAACTAAACGTCGTGGTGGCTATGCTTTTGGAGAGAATTTTCATTTTGACCCAGATGTGGTCACGTCTCTGTCCAACAAAGAACAAGGTTGGCGGTTGTCTCAAATTAAAATATCCCTACTAATTCCTGTGCCATATCTGTGGCCATGTTCGAATGCCACGCCTACCCCGTCTCACGAATAAGGGGTATATCTTCGGTTTTCGAAAGTCAAGAGCAATAGTGCCTGTTGTCAGACCAAGGGAAGAATGGGCGGTCATGGATGTAAGTGGTGATCTTCGCTGCCCCTCGGCGTCTCACAACTGAGCTTTGTGCAGAGTCACGTCATCTACCTCGCGATCCCATCTGTTGTCAGATTTTCCTTTCCATCATTCAGCTGCTGGCTCTTCCAATTCCATGGGCAGGTCTGTGGTTTTTTTCGTATCCCATAATGTTGTGTTGTGGGCGTTCTGAACCTCAGCCATATGTGGATTACCCTTTTGTGACCTAGATCTGCTTTCGAACATGGAGACAGTGATCACAGTGATTGTACCAGTATAATAACAACTACAATCAAGCGATTATCGCCCATGTTCAGTAATATCTCATCCAAAATTTCCCATGAACCAGTTTGGAGATGGTTTTTATTGTGACTGACATGTTCGATTAGTCTTTTTGGGCATTTTTCCCTGGTGAAGATCCGGTCGATCCTGAGCACCATCTTCAGATTTGGTATTGTGGTCAGCAGTAATGCCATGAGTAGTTCACATTCCTATTAAGGATCCCTTTGGCCTCGCAACAATGTGGCTGGTAGGACTCATAGTCAGTGCACAAAAATTACGGTAAAGGTTTCAGTTTTTCGGGGGAAAACCAAAACAGCCTCAACACGTATTCCAATCAGAAAATCAACATAATCACCACATAATAGTTCACTACATAGTAGTATTAACTGCATAACCTCATCTATAGATGGTTCTTGTTTAGAGTTCTCACTATCGTCGTGCCACATACAGGGAACCGAAAATAAAATTTGGTTGGATTCGAAGGAGTGTTTGTTCGATGCCTTCAGACTATAATTGGAGTGATACTATATGTACGTGTGACATGGGTGGTGGCCCAGGCAGGAATTGGTGAGTTCTTTATGATACTCTATTATCTTTTTAACTCATCCCACTTTGAAGACAAACAGGGCGCAGTTTGTCGAGGGGGCATTCTGCTTTCCATAGATGTGCCGACCCATCTAGGTAGCCTTTTCTCGAGTTGACACGTTTTAGGATGGTGGCTAGACGATCCTGCTTCAGCTTCACAAGTTTTACCAGAGTGAGATTTGTAAACCGGAACTAGGGAAGCAATGGTAGTACAAAATGCCCCCCCCCGTCGACAAACAGCGCCACAAAACAGTACACTCATCATTAATTCTGGTTCTTGCCATGTGCGAGAGGAACGGGTTCGCAGCTGTGGTAGCGAGCCGCTTTCCCAGCTCCAAAATGCAGGTGGACGGGCTAGAGGCTAGGGGTGCCGTGTGGCGCTCGCGCTACGCACGGCCAATCGCACGCTTTACCATAGCCAAACGCGCTACTCGTCTGCACCCTGTCACTTCTAGTTGCTTTTTACCGCTGCCTGCGTGTTGGCTGCGAGATTCTGGCATCGACGCAAGTGCTGCAACCTCGGGATAGCGCGACCAGAGTTGGAAGACACCCGGGAATCGCAACCGTCTAGCCTCCCGTGCACTTTTGAACGGAAAAGTGGCATCTACAGACCCAGCCACATTGCAATGGCAAGCATCGTCTTCGGTGGTTAGAGTTCAATTTGTCTTTGATCTCCCTTCGCAAATGAATTGGGTCCTGGTGTCAACTTCAAGTATGCGACCCCTACCTCCACCCCATCCCCTCCCAAACGCCTCTTTCGACAGCCCTTACCACATTTTGAACCCGACCTTTAATTGTGCTTGTATTTGTACAGCGCCTTTCAGTTATGGGTGTTGCGATGATACTTCTGGCGTCATTCGTCACCACTCTGACGGCGATTTCCATGAGCACCATCTGCACAAATGGAGAAATGAAAGGAGGAGGACTCTACTATTTGGTGAGTGGGCGCATTTCCATGGACTGAAGTGCATACCAATATCAGATATTTTTTGTTTCAGATTTCAAGAACCCTGGGCGCCGAATACGGTGGATCAATTGGGCTTATTTTCTCATTGGCAAACTGCGTTGGTGGAGCTTTACATATCGTGGGATTCGCAGAAACTGTGAATCACCTTCTGAATGAGGAAGGAGTTCAAATGATTGACGGAGACATATGGGATATTCGCGTTATATCCGTAGGTGAATAGTTAACACGATTTGACGTCTTTACCAATATAATGCTAGAGGGAGTATTGAGAACAGCTCCATAAGGTTCAAGCGTGGTTCTGGAGTGTCACCCACGAGGTGAATAGGCGGCACCGCACACAGACTGCTACAGCAGTGACTCATTTCTTAGCGAACATGGTACGCGCGACATTCTTGCGCGAGGCCAAAATCTCCCTGCATATGCTGGGAAATATTCACACGACGGTGCAACTAGGAATAGTCGAAGGTAGGGGAACAGGCTGCTCTGGTGGACGGTGGCAGACGAAACATTATACATTCGTAGTCGTTGACGCTGCCGGACACTCGGAGCCCTGGTTGACGCTAGTGGCCGCTGGTGTACGCTGCCGCATGATGAGTGTGAATGCAGCCTATCTTCTGAAGCTGAGCCTACTGAGTAGAATCACTGATCACTATCTATACAGGAGTGCAAGTACATTCGCGCCTAGCTGCTCAAACCTTGATTATTACCAGCGCAATTGGTAACTCCAGCTCAAGAAATTACTTGTTTCAGTGACATGCACAGTTCTGATGACTGTCATCGTTCTATCGCCTATGCTCGAAAGTAAACTGCAGCAAGTACTGCTGGTGCCTCTCGTCTTGGCTATACTCAATTTCGTCATCGGATCATTCATTTCTACCAAAGACAAGGTTCTTCATGGGTATACTGGTTATCAGTGTTAGTGTTTATTCTAATTCGTGCTAATGTTAGTTGCATTTGTGGACTAGACGGCAGAAGTCTTGGGAGTGTTACTGGCACTAGTCATAAACACAGTAGGTACTGCCTATCTGTGGATACGTAGGCGCAGAAGATTCAGAGACATCCGTTTTCCCGAGCAGGCTGTACTTACTTACACGTACACTGTTCACGTTCCGACAAACGGCAACTCTCTACCGTACCCGCTCCCACAACTAGGTCCGTAAACACTCCCTCCACAGCCGAGATACGAGTTGGGCTTCCAAGAACCATACCCATGGGACACATTATATGGAAAAACATCATTCATACTCCCTAAAACATTGTGGACGGGTTCGGCTGATGCTCATGGGCAAATCACACTACTACTTCACGTTTATAGTTTAAGATGACCTGCACCAACTGCTTTCTATCTTGCATGGGTGAAATGTTCGCAAAATAATGGATTCAGTTCATATCTGAGGGCTGAAACGGGCGTTTTTGAAAACAAGGCGATGGATGTCTGGGCCCCTAGATGAAACAGACGCAGAGACATATACATAAAGGAGGAGAATATGGATACTCCGAACGTCTTTGTTTGGCCGTTTATCTACTTTTTCGGTGCGCTCACCGGTGTCGACAACGAAAACTTTGAAAGCAGAAACGCGGACCATTTCCATTTAAGGATAGTGGAAAGAGTTTTGCGGTATAGACGACAAGGTTAGGAGTAACTCATTTGGTGAGAAAACAATGTCTCTTCCAATAGAACTCCAATTTCCGTTATCCAGTTTGTTCATGCCCAATTACCTCCATCTTACACTGACGACCCTCATCCGCACAGCTGATTCCCCGATAAGAACCCTACAACCGCACAAGTGACGATTTTCAAGGTTTTCGTCCTACAGCTTCGTTTTCCACTGAAAGGCGGGCCTTGGAGGCGGAGTCTCGCGAGGCGAACCATTCGAAAAAAGGAGGGTCCATTCCAGACCTTGTATTGCGCTATAGTCGCCCCTCCTTTCGGCTTTTGGCCGGTGAACCCGTACAAGGTCTTCGCGGCGGGCCACATCTACCCTCCCACGCATATCCAACTTCCAATAACCTGATGCGGACCGCACCATTCAGGTCGGGATCCTGGCCGAGAGGATGAGCGCAGAAAAATGGACGCGAAGCTTCAGGAATTAATAAACTTTTCAAGGGAGGGACTCTAGGGTCAAGACTCACTATGGTTTTGCTTAAAAAGTTGGAAAGCGATATAAGGTAACAGTGGTCACAGATATGTGACAGGCGTGTGCAGAGCTCCGCAGAAAATTTTATGGTCGTCAACACGATACCAGATGTGCTCTCCTGCGAGACCCAGGGTAATCTCTTGGTGGCTTCTATTAGCCCAGTATTTGGAAAGGGAATGTGAAGAAATGGAGACAACATGAGAAGAAGGAGGATAACAGACAGACAGAGGACACAAAAAAGGAAACAGAAAAGAGTCTAATCGCGTTTGACGAGTGCTAAGACAACGATTTCATTGCGTAACTGATCTCTAATTTTTCACAAATTTCAATACACCACACATGCCAGCATAAGAGTGGGCGTGATTGCGTTACAGTACATACTTGACATGCCTAGTATGCGTTGTACGTTGATAACTTTCAGCTGTTCAATACAAGTGTTACCCAATCTTGCACTGAAAATGCTGATGACTGAAACTGCAATAATCCTCCAAAAGCGCAGCTACCGCCTTACTGGGATATGGGTATCAATTCCTTTCTAAAACTCTACATTCAAAAGAAGAATTGTCGAGCAGGTGATGGAAACTATTTCAGGGGAAACATTAGTCGCTAACTGGTGGCCAGATTTCCGTGATGGCCATACTTTTTTCACCGTCTTCGCTGTATACTTTCCTGCGGCTACAGGGATCATGGCGGGAGCGAATATCAGTGGAAATCTTAAGAATCCTCAGGTATGTCCTTATCTGCATAAACGAGAATGGGAATACTCACTTACTTCAGATAAAAAAAATCACAATTGCTCTCAGGTTGCGATCCCGCGTGGAACGTTATCTGCGATTAGCTGTATCCACGATGATCTACACTACCTTCGGTCTGGTAGCTGGAGCCACATATGTTCGAGATGCTGACGGTATCATCAACGTTAAGTCAGTCGATGTGCCAGAGTGCTACTCGAATGATACGTGTCCCTTCGGGCTTCATAACTTCTATCAGGTACTTCCTACCAGATCATATTTCCTACTAAAGTCTGTCAGTATTGTGAGGGTGAAGAATAAAGTCTGTCTGCCATTGTAGTAAGAACCCTGCTCGACGAATCATGAGCTAATACAAGTCTGACTACGTCGATGTAGCTGATGGGGCGGCGTAAGAGTGGGCATGTCCTTTCTTTCGTTCCTTTTCCCCTACTGTATGTGCCCAGGGCTCATTTTTACCTCGAAATCTCATTTCCTGCTCTAGCTCTACGCGACTAATCCTTTCAGATAGTCATGACAACAAGTATTTGGCCCTGGGTGATCACCATTGGTATTGTGTCCGCTGCGCTTGGCTCCGCGATGGGAAGCCTAGTCAGCGCTTCGAGAATTTTTCAGGTAGACTGCCTTTGAGTTAAAAACATCCCTTGACTTTAGTAGCCAACCTGTTTTTTCTACAGGCAGTTTGCGAAGACAGATTGATTCCGGCTATTACCTTCTTCGGCAAAGGATACGGAGCTGGACACGATCCTCGAAGGGCATATGCGCTCTGTTTCATCATTACTATCGCCGTCTTGATGATTGGTAAGAGCCTCCAGAAACATTGTAGGTCCAAGGAAATAAATGGGTGTCTTCAGGTAATCTCAATGTCATAGCTCCATTTATTTCAAACTTCTTCCTTTGCGCTTACGCTCTGGTCAACTACGCCTGCTTCGAAGCAATTCTCTCCCAAGAGTCCAGGTGAACAGTGAATTTTCCTTTCTCTTACCTTCTTTTCTTTACTTTTTACCCATTACTTCGGCTCAAAAGAATGTAGACGAGCTGAAGGTATATTCATACTTCGCGACTCTAGCAATTGTCGCTTGAATTGAGCGATTCAAGGACTTCAGTCGATCACGCTCTGTCGTTAATCATTGAGCCATTGCAGCTGCTAACTCAGGCGCATTCCGAACAGATCTTCTTTCTTTGACTGAAATTAAGTGAAGGTTCACAATTTTAATATGATGTTTGAGCTCTACACTGATGAGGAGCATGAAAATCACAAAATAGTAGCGGATCAGTGATTAGCGATGGAGGGTGGTGGGTAGCACTCGCGAGTCGCGAAGTATGAACGCAGCCGCAGAACATCTACCACTTTGATAGTTGGCAACGCTCTGTCACTGGCTCAAATTTTTGTAGAATACTATCACCCAATATCCTCTTCTGGTACGACCCTCTCCCTCCAAGAACCGAGTACGATCTCCCTTGCGAGCCCTTAGTTGAACACTCAAACGTATGTTTAGGTTTCCGCCCAGCGTTTGGCTTTCACTCACCGTGGTTATCACTGCTTGGAGCAGTGCTGTGCATTTCGATCATGTTCATTATGTCGTGGCCAACAACACTACTCACTTTCGCATTCTTCGTAGCAGTCTACGCTTTTATAAAGCATTTAAAACCAGGTGATCTATTTCATTAAGGAAATTCCACAGTCTTTCATGAAATCTAGGTGTGCCAAGTGATGCCGTTAGAATAGG